CAAAAACGTATGTAAGGAGCTTCGAGTTAGCTTCACTGAGCTAGACCATGCCATATTGGGCTGGGCTTATTTGCAGATTTATGCAGAGTGCCAGGGCACTCCTGGCACCATAACAACTACAGTGGGCTATGGTATTTGGAGAGTTCCTTTGAGTGTAGTCTACACACACACACACACATTACCTTCGAGAAGAGCATGCATCCGCAACAATGTGGACATCAAAACCCTTATCCAAAAGGTCCAGTGTGGTACTCTGAAAAGAGAGACAAGTTCTATGACCATTTTGGCAGCTGATTAATGCAATTGATAACTTAAAGATAAATCATCTGTATATTAACAAAGGGCTTGAAGTGCAAATGGGGACCAAAGACCTATATATATATTAAGATAGATGGGGTAAGGAGCAGAGGAAAGGTGTTGAAAGATGTAGGAATTGTATAACCCTGACAGCAGACACATCAGGTTTTGTAAAGTTTTGGCAGCTTACGCATATACCATAATATAAAGCAGTCTTTATCCTACTCTCTGTCCTGACAGTGGCTTAAAGCTGCAGCAGAGTTTACAAATCATTGCAGTTCTGACACAGCCCCTCAGAGCTCAGTTCAGTGCTAACTACATCAATTTTGACCATATTTTGCTTGTACCCTTGTGCAGACTACACAAAACATTCAGAATTAAAGGGATTCTCCAGTGCCAGGAAAACAGTTTTCCTGGCACTGCAGGACCCTCTAGTGCCCCTCTACTTCCCACCCCCCATCCCAAGTTGCTGAAGGGGTTAAATCCCATTCAGTGACTTACCAGAGTCCAGCGCCGATGTCCCTCGGTGCTGGGTCAGGCTCCGCCTACGCTCCTACCCCGCCGACGTCAGCCAGCTGGGGAGACCTAATGTGCATGCACGGCAATGGCTGTGCACGCACATTAGACCTCCCCATAGGAAAGCATTATACAATGCTTTCCTATGGGGATTTCGGCTACACTGGAGGTCCTCACATAGCGTGACGACGTCCAGCGTCTTTTTAAAACACTTTTTGTGTTCTATGAACACGGAAGTCTCCTCTAGTGGCTGTCTAGCAGACATCCACTAGAGGAGGACTTAACCCTGCAATGTAAATATTGCAGTTTATGAAAAATGCTAATTACACTTGCAGGGTTAATGGTAGTGGGAGTTGGCACCCAGATCAATCCAATGGGCAGAAGTGGTCTGGGTGCCTGGAGTATCCCTTTAAAAAATTTTTATGTGAGACTGACCATACATGCACAAGTCACAGCTCTGACATGAGACTGAGTTCAGGCCAAACAGTCAGGCCTCAACTCAAGTGTAATGTCACACTGCATTCAGGAAGTATTCCGATCGCTTTTATTTATTAAAATGTCTTTATTTTGCAACCTTATACTACAATTTACTTACTTTTTTTTTTGACAATCTTTATTTTACGTTTTACATTTTTCGGTACTAAACAAGGGTATACAAGCAAGAACAGTACACATCATTGTTTCGTCAAAGATAAGTATCAACTCAAGAGCATAGTGAACTAAATTGTAACAGGCTGTTCTGTAAGCCAGCCATGTTCCAGTCACACCATCATACTGTGGACCTCTTTTCCAGCCATACCTACTTCCTTCCCCTCCCAGCAAACCTTACTCCATGTTTGCAGGGGTAGCTTTTTACCTCTAAAAAAATCAATCAAAGAGGGCGCAAGGATTAGCTATAACAGAAAACAATAACTGCAAATGACAGTTTGTATAAATAAAATAGAATCAGCTGCTAAAACACATTAAAAAAAAAAAGAAAGAAAAACTTTCCCAGGTTTTTTTTTAATCAGAATTGTAAACCACAGTGTCAGCACTTAGTAAGTCCTCCCCTTTGAGATATTCACCAGGGTGTTAACAATCAAACTTGAATAATCCGGGTTCCTAAATGGGTATCAATGTAACTGCATAGACATCAGCAGTGATGCAGAGTGAAATCTTTTAAATGGGGCCATTTCTGTATTGTAACACGATGTTTGATGAATATACCTTGAAATTAAGGAAACAATAATAGAGTGTAACACTGTAGATTTAAATACATAAAAAGGCTTCTTCAAATGTGGTAGTTATGTATGTAAAGTGACAAGCTCCACACAAGGTAAAACAAGCACATTTCAATCCTCTGTTACAGGGCGCATGTTCAACATAAAAGATTGCATTGCTTGCAACACTAAGCAGGTCATTTACATGTTGGGTTGCCCGTGAGGCCTTCAATATGTGGACCAAACAAAGAATAATGAAGATCAGGTTCAGGGAACATGCTTATAATATCAAAAGAGGATTTGAAAAACATTACTTATCACATCACTTCAAGACCCACCACAATAGTAACCCAGCCCTACTTACATATTGTGGTATTGAGGAAGCATGCGTACCTTGGAGAGGAGGAGAATTAAGTAAGAAATTAATGTACCAAGTGATGTACTGGATTTTTAATTTGAGAACTCTTAGAGTTGGTGAATATTTTGTAACATCATGCCCCTACCTCATACGACATTGGTTGCCATAATCTAGTACTATTCCATTACTCCAACAAACACATAGCATGGATATCTATTTGATTTTTTATGCCCCTTTGCAGATTTACTTAGACACACAATATCTCTTCATTTATTGGTACCCTTACCCTTTCCACCATATACAGCTTTCGACCAGAAGGGGGCATTATATAAATAAGACTGCTCCTGAGGGAATGTAAGACAGTGTGTGGATTTAAAGGGACACTCCAGGCACCCAGACTACTACTGCCCATTGGAGTGGTCTGGGTGCCAATTCCCACTACCCTTAACCCTGCAAGTGTAATTATTGCAGTTTTTTTTATAAACTGCAATAATTACCTTGCAGGGTTAACGCCACCTCTAGTGGCTGTCTACTAGACAGCCACTAGAGGGCACTTCCTGGATTATAGCACAGATTTGTGCAGAGCGTCGCTGGACGTCCTCACGCTGTATGAGGACCTCCAGCGTCGCTCAATTCCCCATAGGAAAGCATTGAAAAGCATGTTCAATGCTTTCCTATGGAGAGCTGTAATGCGCATGCGCGGTTAATTCGGTCTCCCCGGCCGGTGGGCGAGATCAGTCTCACCCACCGGCTGACTTAATGAAGAGGAGGAGCGGTGGTGGAGGAAGAAGCAGCGACGTGAGACGTTTTCACCCCTTCAGCAAACGGGGATTGGGAGGTGGGAGGGAGAGGGGACCTGCAGTGCCAGGAAAACGGATTGTAGATCCACTATAGGAGGTGAAATGGAGGGATCCAGTCTAAACATGTATACCCTGCACGATCAGGCAGCCCTCTATAATGAAATCGGTAGCCTAGTCGTTCAATCTAGAGTGGGGATACTCTCCCCTTGTCCAGTTGGTATGAAGCATAGTCTCCCTTGCATACCGGTGAGGTACTATACCCCTGTACCAGAGCTGAAGCTTCAGTGGTAACCTTGGTATGAGGTATGGACCTCCATATTGAATGGAATGCAGGAGTGACGCCCCTCAATGCAGTCATCGTTGTCCTGTACAGGTACAAGCCTGTGTGCTGAAGAATGGATGACACCGTAGTGCGTAGAGTGTATGAGAGAGAGAGCCACATTCTCTAATAATGTAACCGAACTCCATATTGGCATCCGGCTGATAGCCTGAGCGTGCCGCACCCGTTAATAACAAAAATTAGAGTCGACATCTGTGTCCGGATTCTTCTATGAGAGTGTGATACCCTCAAAACATGTCCTCTGTATCCCTCTCAGTATCGGGCTGAGGTTGAGGGAGGGCCGCGCCCTCTAATAAGGGATCAGTGTCCAGTTCCGTATATGAGAGGGGTTCGTTCTCTACTTGAGTAAATAAAATTATCAGTACCGGGCCGAGTCGATGGAGGGCCGCACCCTCTTGTATTCCCCCAACTGCGGGGGTTCACCATTACATGATATCAGAGTACAACTGAGGTCCTGAGGGGGGTCCCTCTCTGACCACGAGACCCCTCTCTGAATCACTCCCCTGAGGGGTGGGATCAACTGGTATTAAACCAGACCGATAGTAGACTGAGTAGTAGACAACCTCGGGTCGTGCCCATCTTTAATAACAGAAAGGGGTGATGCGAGAATGTAACCTCTGGAAACAATGATGGAATCTACCAACGGACCGCCCGGATCCCGTGCTCGCGCGTGAGGTACAGGATGACCGTAGGTAGTCTGAGGAAAGCTGGGGGGTTCGGGCACAGGTAGATCAGGCCAACAATGGGCGCAGATAGAGCGGGCAGAGACATAGCAAATCAATGGGACACAGACATAGCAGGCCGTTTTAATGGGCACAGACATAGCAAGCCAGTCAAAGTGGCACAAACAGAACAGGCCAAGTCACTTATCAGTGGTGTATCAATCAGCAATAAGGGTCCTTGTTAAGGAAGCGCTCCTTATTTGTGTCATAATAGGTCCTGGGGAACCTTGCGATAATGGGCCAGGAGTAGGCCTCTGATACAGTAGTTATGGTGCATGTGGAGTACAGGCTCCCACTGAAAGCAAATGTATGAAGTATGGTGTAGTACACTGTGTGGGACACCTTTAACTGTCCACCAATGAGTTAATCTGAAGGCAGGAATAATATATGCCCAGCATATGTCCTTAAAATTATGGGTATCAATGCAGTGTTCACCTCCTACTTCTCAGAACTATACAACCATTCCCCCCGCCTCCAGGCCGCCAATGCGGTCTACATTGCAGACATACACCAATTTCTCTCTGAACTCACTATCCCAAAGGTGAACGGGGCGGAAGCGGAAGCACTACAAGAACCAATCACACAACTCGAGGTGGAGGCAGCCATAGCTTCCCTGAAAGGCAATAGGGCACCAGGTCCGGACGGATATGACATTAGCTATTACAAACAATTCAAAGACATATTAGCCCCCCAGCTGACGACCCTTAGCAACCATTTTCTGCAGGGTGGGACACCTGATGGCGACATGGCGACAGCAAATGTTGTCCTCCTACCAAAACCAGGGAAAGACGACACACTGGCCTCGAGCTACAGGCCAATCTCACTTATTAACACTGACCTCAAAATATTCGCCAAAATCCTGGCGTCCAGACTCAACGTACTGCTCCCGCGCTTGATCCACCCAGATCAGGTGGGCTTTATGCCAGGCCGCCAATTGTATGAAAACACGAGACGAGGGGTCAGCACAATCTGGCACATGGGGGAATCCGGGGCGCCTTCTCTGGCGCTCTCACTAGACGCGGAGAAGGCGTTTGATAGGGTGTTATG